CCGAAATTACTTTTTGGCAGATGATCATATTTTGGCACACCAGAAGATATAAAACACAGACAGAACCACAAGATAATTAACACATACAGAGCAAATGTCTTAAACGATGTCGGCAGTTGGGTAAATGTAAATTACGGCTTTTTAACAGTTCTGTTCCAGCTTTCGAACATCCCCCAGCTGACCTGTTATGCCGGAAGGTGACGATAGCATCGGCTGTGCCAGTCCCCTGCCACACCGTCAACTCTGTGCATGCAAGACTCCGCCCAAAATCTCCGCTTTTTACACGCCCGGGGACTAAAGAAAATAATTATCCGAGCAGCAGCATTTGACAGAGGAAGCGGAGAAGGCGAGGAGAGCTCCCCTGGGATACTCAAAGGACTGTGGACACGCTCTGTTCTGCGATGCTACGGTAGATTCTACAGCCCAGAATACTGGATAACCTTTAATTTAATAATAACAAACAAGGGAAACAGAAGGAGTATGCAAGATTTTTTAAGCTAAAATTCTGTGCTGATGAAATGACCCTTACAAAAAGTATCACTGGTTAATGTTTGCCGTTTCGGTTTAGTTTCTCCACCATATACAAAATTGTATCATGTGATTTAAAACGTTTAAGAAGGTGGTTCACAACCAGTGGCATGCCAGGTTTTCCAGCAAAGACAGGATTTGCAAACAAATTGGTATTTTATAAAAAAAATAATTAATATTATTTGTGTATTTTTTACACACACAGACACACTAAAACACACTCACATGCAGTCATTGAATGTATTTACTGTCTTGCTTTCCATACAGTAACTTCATGATTGACTGCATAGGGAACATCAGTAAATTGCACAGAAACATATAGTCCAATGAATGTGGGTATTAGGGAAATTATTTTATTTTAATGCAAAACGAAACACATATTCCAGGTTCTCTCTTAGTGGATACAGCTTTGTAGACTGGATATACAGAGAAAGCATGAAAATAAGAATACGATATGTTTATTAGTGACTCAAGCAAACCATGGCATCCCAGTGATATCCTCTGTTAAGAAAACCTCATCCTCTTACAGTGTGACGCTGTCAAGGTTCTTAAAAACAGACAGGGATACATTTCAATATTTATTGCTGTCATTAGTCCTATACAATTTTTGATTGACTCGTTTTACAAAGTGAAATAGAAAGCAATAGTAGCTAGCACACTTCATTCTCTCACTCATTACAGTGAATGACACATTTATTCTATGCCAGTGTTTTACTCTTAAAACAATTGAATCTTGCTCAAGGATATTTGGCATATAGATCAAAGCAGCAAACGGATCAAACTGCCAACGTTCCAGTCAGTAGATTACCTTCTCTACCTCCTGAGCTACAGCCACCCCACATAACAGAAGCACATAACATATGTACAAATACTTTTTTCCCTTCTTTGTTGTGCCTTAAATCATAGTTTGTACGATTACTTTTGAGTGGAAACTGACTTCAATAACATATCGTTTGATTTCAAATTCACAGAGATGGTTTACGAAGTAAAGTTACAACTTCATGTCACTTTCCAAACATTTACGGATGTAAATGTATCCGACATATGCTGGAAACCGCTGCTTTGGACACCTTACTACTTTTTATTGATTTTACAGTTAAGGACAAGTACTGGCTTTCTTAAACACACTGAACAAGTAAGGGCTAATAGCAGAAAACCTGTCTACAGAAGACACCTAGTAGTCTTTAAGTCCTTAAGACACAGGGGGAAGAAATCTAGATGCCAGACCTGAGTGATGTGTCTGGCCCTTCGGTTGATTCATCTACTTTTCACTGAAGCATCATCAGAAATGATTTCACTCGAACGGTCACTGTGTGGAACAGGGACGAAAGGCTGAGGGATGCCAAAAGAACTGGACTCAAAAATCAGTGACAACAGGTCTGATGGAGTGATGCATCCAAATGTGAAATTTCTAATTGAAATAGTTGTCAATATATATGGAGGAAGTTGAGAGAGGTACAGCAGTGAGTATAACAGCCATAAAGTTCTGTCATACAGTCTGATCACGAAAACGTAAATACCCACATCAAGGCTTACTGCAGTAAGAACCAAGGTCAGGTTAACTATTAATTTAACAGTATCTAGTGCATCTGCAGCAGTCGTGATAGCATGACACAGTGGGACACCGATTCTTAGAGCGCGTAAGTCTGTCAAAATCAGAGTTTGGGAAATATCCATCATACGTGTGTGCAGCTACAAAGAAGTCATTCATCAGGTTTTGCAGTTACCGTTAAAGCATGAGCTCACATCGAAATTGCAAAACAACTGGAAAGACTGTCCAAGTTTGTGGTACGTCACCAAACAAGAGCATGTAGCAGAACAAGCTGCGTGTCACTGTAAGAGAGGATTTGACAGGTTTTTCATTGTTTTTGCAACCCGCACACACTAAAACACTCAACACCCCTGACTTTCAGAAGCTTCCCATTATACCGGTTATACTTTCTGTAACAACATTTAGTGTGCTGTCTTTTATCAAGAGGGATGATTGGTGGAAGATAATGCATGTTTTAATAATCACTTAATTATTTCAGCTATTTTACAAGCAGATATGCTGACTTATCAACATCCGCTTTTCTTTGTCTGATATGACAAAGGTCTAGGTAGTCTAGGTATCATTCTGCAAAAGACCAAATAATTAAAATAATAAAAAATAATAATTATAGGCAGTTTGGCGATTATTAGAAATACTTATCTGCAACCACAGTGCTGTTATCCTCCACTGATTTCAAAGGGCAGCAAAGTTGATTCTCAAAATCAGAGAGTCATCTGAGTCAATTAATATTTTAAGTGACTTGTTATTTTTAAGCTCGTTTTCTGAAAGATTATGTCATAATTGTCCTGAAATTTGCCTGTCCTTCCCAAAGTCGCACTTTGGCACTTTTGGGACTTTACTTCCATGGAGACCACTAATCATGAAGCTCAAGTTACATGCAAAATAACTCAAAGGGTACAACTTTATAGGGCTGACAGTATAGAAATT